TGTAGCATCTATGTACCATGTAGCATCTATGTACCATGTAGCATCTATGTACCATGTAGCATCTATGTACCATGTAGCATCTATGTACCATGTAGCATCTATGTACCATGTAACATCTATGTACCATGTAACATCTATGTACCATGTAGCATCTATGTACCATGTAGCATCTATGTACCATGTAGCATCTATGTACCATGTAGCATCTATGCACCATGTAGCATCTATGTACCATGTAGCATCTATGTACCATGTAGCATCTATGCACCATGTATAGATGCTACATGCACCATGTAGCATCTATGTACCATGTGACATCTATGTACCATGTAGCATCTATGTACCATGTAGCATCTATGTACCATGTAGCATCTATGTACCATGTAGCATCTATGTACCATGTAGCATCTATGCACCATGTAGCATCTATGTACCATGTAGCATCTATGTACCATGTAGCATCTATGCACCATGTAGCATCTATGCACCATGTAGCATCTATGTACCATGTAGCATCTATGCACCATGTAGCATCTATGCACCATGTAGCATCTATGTACCATGTAGCATCTATGTACCATGTAGCATCTATGCACCATGTAGCATCTATGTACCATGTAGCATCTATGCACCATGTAGCATCTATGCACCATGTAGCATCTATGCACCATGTAGCATCTATGCACCATGTAGCATCTATGTACCATGTAGCATCTATGTACCATGTAGCATCTATGCACCATGTAGCATCTATGTACCATGTAGCATCTATGCACCATGTAGCATCTATGCACCATGTAGCATCTATGTACCATGTAGCATCTATGCACCATGTAGCATCTATGCACCATGTAGCATCTATGCACCATGTAGCATCTATGCACCATGTAGCATCTATGTACCATGTAGCATCTATGTACCATGTAGCATCTATGCACCATGTAGCATCTATGCACCATGTAGCATCTATGCACCATGTAGCATCTATGCACCATGTAGCATCTATGTACCATGTAGCATCTATGTACCATGTAGCATCTATGTACCATGTAACATCTATGTACCATGTAGCATCTATGTACCATGTAGCATCTATGCACCATGTAGCATCTATGTACCATGTAGCATCTATGTACCATGTAGCATCTATGCACCATGTAGCATCTATGTACCATGTAGCATCTATGTACCATGTAGCATCTATGTACCATGTAGCATCTATGTACCATGTCGCATCTATGTACCATGTAGCATCTATGTACCATGTGACATCTATGTACCATGTAGCATCTATGTACCATGTAGCATCTATGTACCATGTAGCATCTATGCACCATGTAGCATCTATGTACCATGTAGCATCTATGTACCATGTAGCATCTATGCACCATGTAGCATCTATGTACCATGTAGCATCTATGTACCATGTAGCATCTATGCACCATGTAGCATCTATGTACCATGTAGCATCTATGCACCATGTAGCATCTATGCACCATGTAGCATCTATGTACCATGTAGCATCTATGCACCATGTAGCATCTATGTACCATGTAGCATCTATGTACCATGTAGCATCTATGTACCATGTAGCATCTATGTACCATGTAGCATCTATGCACCATGTAGCATCTATGTACCATGTAGCATCTATGTACCATGTAGCATCTATGCACCATGTAGCATCTATGTACCATGTAGCATCTATGTACCATGTAGCATCTATGCACCATGTAGCATCTATGTACCATGTAGCATCTATGCACCATGTAGCATCTATGCACCATGTAGCATCTATGTACCATGTAGCATCTATGCACCATGTAGCATCTATGTACCATGTAGCATCTATGCACCATGTAGCATCTATGTACCATGTAGCATCTATGCACCATGTAGCATCTATGCACCATGTAGCATCTATGCACCATGTAGCATCTATGCACCATGTAGCATCTATGTACCATGTAGCATCTATGTACCATGTAGCATCTATGCACCATGTAGCATCTATGTACCATGTAGCATCTATGTACCATGTAGCATCTATGTACCATGTAACATCTATGTACCATGTAACATCTATGTACCATGTAACATCTATGTACCATGTAACATCTATGTACCATGTAGCATCTATGTACCATGTAGCATCTATGTACCATGTAGCATCTATGTACCATGTAGCATCTATGTACCATGTAACATCTATGCACCATGTAGCATCTATGTACCATGTAGCATCTATGCACCAT